AGCTAGTTTTTGTATTTTTAGTAGAGATGGTGTTTTGCCATGTTGGCCAGGCTGTTTTTGAATTCCTGGCCTCATGTCATTCACACACCTTAACCTCCCAAAGTGTTTGGATTACAGGCATGAGCCACTGCACCCGGCCAGAAGAAAAATACTATTTCTTCTCTCTTCTTCTCCACTCTGCTCTTAGCTGACTAGTGCTCTTGGAAAGGGTCTGGAAAACACCCAGAAGTGCATAACTGATGAGGGTTGTCTTTTTCCAGAGTATTTGCATTTTCAGTGGTGACAATGCCTTAACCGAGTCTTTTCAACGGGGGCGACTTTGCCCCCCAGAAGTCATTTGGCAATATCTGGAGATGTTTTGGTCGCAATGACTCGGGAGGTGCTACTAGCATCTAATAGATGGAAGCCAGGGATGCTGCTGAACGTCCTACAATGCACAGGATTGTAGATAGGACAGAATCATCCTGTCCCACCACAAAGAAAGATACAGCTGAAAATGTCAATAGTGCCAAGGTTGATAAACCCTGTCTTAACTCAAAGCGATCAACTTCTAGGAGTGAACTTCTAAGTAAACTGCCAGGGGACTAGATGAAGAGTGGCATTTTTCTGGTCCATCGTTTTAAATGAAAGAGAAATCTGTACCACATAAGGGCAGCTGAAAAGACTGTTGTCTTCCACAGCGGGCAGCCCCCAGTGTGAAGTGGCTAATTAGCTCCAAGTAGTAAGAATAAAGACTTGCATTTAACTAAGTAACTGATTCTCATCCTGGAAAGGATAGAAGTGAACAGGGAAAAGCGAAGAAAATTTAGACGAATTAATAGACCACAAATAAATGGGTTGTCAGAGGAAGTTAGGGTGTTTGAAGTTTTGCAGATGCTTTTTCATAGCATATCCTGCTCTGTCAAAGATAAACTAGCAAAGATGCTAGTTCTGCTGTCTTCCACAGAGTGGGTCGGCAAACAGTGACCACTAGACACTGAGGTTACCAAGATGAATACACCTGGTCTCTGTCCCTGCATATGTACAAACACACATACATCAGGATAATAATAATAAATAATAGTAAACAGTGGTAAGTGCAGAGATGGGCTCTCCCTAGGAGGCTGGAGTGATTACTTCCGTCATCTCCTGTCCGCGGAGAACAAGAGGCAGGAAGACCCTGTGCACTCATAACCCTCATCCCACGGCAGGCCCTCTGGTTTCACTTCTCTCCCTGCAGCCGTGCATATCTTATGGCCACACCACAGGGTTAGAGGATAGCTGGTGTTGGGAGGGGAAGGCAGCCCTGGGTTGGCGGGAAGGGCTGGGGCTCTGGGGGAGTCTGGGGGTAGTCCTGGGTTGGCGGGAGGTCCTTCCAAGACAGAGTCTACAAAGCTCTTGACTTCTTATCGAATAAAACTACTTCCCTCAAAGTCAGAGAAGGAGAACTGAGCTTGGAAAGGAGTGGCGCAGTTTTCAGTCTGGCCCCACCCCTAACTCCTGGGTGACTGTGGCCAAGTCACTTTGCTTCTGTGGGCCTCAGTCCCCTCACGCGTGAAGCAGGGGGCTAGATGCAAGGTCAGCTGGAAAAAGTCTTTGTGCCCATCCGGGTTGCCTTACCCACCCCTTCTTGCCCTTTCATTTTCTCAGGTAAGATCACTGGGGCCCACAGAGCTCAGGTGCCTTTCTCAAAGTCACATAGTTTAAAAGCAAAAATAGGGGCTGAGCATGGTGGCTCCCATGGTTGTAATCCCAGCGCTTTGGGAGGCTGAGGCAGGAGACTGCTTGAGCCTAGGAGTTGGAGGCTGCAGCGAGCCATGATCATGCTGCTGTACTCCAGCCTAGAGGACAGTGCATGATCCTGTCTCTAAAATAAATAAGAAAATAAAAGCAAAAATGGAAGTTGTAGAAACATACCTGTAACATGATCCCTCTTATAAAAAAGAACTATATGTTTTGTTTTTAAAAAATACATGTAGGCCGGGCGCGGTGGCTCATGCCTGTTATCCCAGCACTTTGGGAGGCCGAGGCGGGCGGATCACAAGGTCAGGAGATCGAGACCATCCTGGCGAACACGGTGAAACCCTGTTTCTACTAAAAATACAAAAAATTAGCTGGGCGTGGTGGTGGGCGCCTGTAGTCCCAGCTACTTGGGAGGCTGAGGCAGGAGAATGCATGAACCCGGGAGGCGGAGCTTGCAGTGAGCTGAGATCACGCTACTGCACTCCAGCCTGGGCGACAGAGCCAGACTTTGTCTCAAAAAATAAAAATAAAATAAAAAATAAAAAAATAAAATAAAAAATACATGTAAGTTTATAATGGCACACAAAAAGATACAGAGAGATATACAAATTACGGTGGCTCCCCTTGGGGGAGGGAAAGGAAGGGGACAAAGGGAAGCTTTTATTGTTCTACATACTTCCGTATTGCTGAAAAATTGTATTATGACAAAAACATATTTGTGTTTTATTTGTACACTTTAAAAAGATCATCTTTAAAATGGACTTCTGACCAAAGCGCAGGTCTCAGATTTCTATTTTCCTCACAACACCAAGCCTGCTCCAGCCCACTCCAGGTCTAGAATGCTGCAGCACTTGGCTTGCATTGCCACTCCCATACCCGGCAGGACGTGGCAGGGTCACCACCCTCTGGCTCAGCCCAGACCAGGCATCGCAATTCTTCTCACAGAGCCCTTGATACGAAAACTGTTTGCTATGCTGCTTTAAGCTAGTGGTTGGATTTCAGGCATGAGCTAGCAAATAGAAAAGGCAGGGAGATGCTTTTCAGAACCTTTGAGATCAAACAGCCAGGGTGCTGAGCACCTTGTCTGCAGGGAGGACCATACCCAATGTAAGGACCTGGCTCGAGGGAGACTGGAGTTTCTAGGGGTACCTGGGATCTGTGGGGTGGCGGGGACAGTGCAGAGACCTTTTCACAGAGCCAAGGAGATAACCCTGCACCCAGAGAGTGGATGAATCCATGGGCTCTGTGTGGGAGTGAGGGAGGCCTTCCCGGCTTTCCCATCCTGGTGCAGCAGAGCCCCAATCCCCCATGAGTCTGTCTCAGGAAGTAAATGGCTAAAGCGCTAAGTAGATAACGCCAGAGGAGGAGGAGGATTCTGAATTCTGTTTATAGCTCTGCTCATATTTTGTTTTCTAACCTCAGAAAACTGGTTTATCCTTGGGAAGGGTCAGTTTCTTCATCAGGACAATGAAGAAAAATCCAGCTGTCCCTTCCAAGGGGAGGTATCATGAGCAGTATCAAGGTAAGCAAGGGAACCTGGTTTGGAATCCTGGTTGACACCGCTCTCACTTTAAGAAGTCGCAAGAGACAGCGTCAAGAGAGGAAGCCACAGACCAGGTTGGACCCTGAGCCTGGAGTACCGCCTTTTCTCTTTGCCTGCTAAACTCCTTGCTCTTCAAGATTCAGCAGAGAGGACACCTTCTCTGGGAAGGCTTCCTGAGTCTCCTGCAGTGAGCCCTAGGCTCCCCCAGCCCTCGGCTCTTATCTCTTATCTCTGAGAAATCTGAGATCTGTGCTTTGGTTAGAAGTCCGTTTTAAAGACGATCTTTTAAAGTGTACAAATAGAAACCTTATCTTATTGTATTGCAGCTACCTATTTGCAGGCCTATCTCCTCCCCCAGTGTGTATCAGTGCTCAGGCTGGGCCTTTGTCTGTGGGCTTGCGGAGGGAGGCAGGACAAGCCAGCGACCACATTCCTGCACTCCTGGCTGCCTCCTGTGGGGCCCTCGAGGGAGCGGCAGGCCTCCCTGTTGCGTGCAGGGCCCGGGCTGTGTGGGTGGTTCTCCAGAGTCTCCTAGAGCCCTTTTTGGGTCTGATTCTCTGACCCTCCCTTCTCTCCTTGCTCACCACTTGGCACTCCACTCCTTATCCTTTTGCTGCATTAAGTTTGGAAAGAGATTTTGGAGAAAAATATAGCCCCTATCAGTGAATTTCTCCCCCTCCCAGGGCCTGTCCAGGCTTGCGCCATGCCCACTCTTTTCCTTTCCAGCGCTGGCCACGTCCTCCCTGCACCTTCAGTGCCTACTGTCCCTGCCTCTCCCTGGGCTCCGGGTCTGTGCCCACAGTGTCCTGCTTGGCCCTCGTGCTGCCTCTGGTTGCCCACATTCCTGCAATTCTGTGACCACAACAGGGGCGATTACACATTCCTGGCCTGGCAGCCAATGGTGTAAAAAAGAACAGAATGTCCTAAGGCCCCGCCTAGCCCCCAGCTTCACCTGGGCCCCTCCCGGGTCTGGACAAGGTTGGAGGGAGTGGTGAGGACTCAGCAGGAAACAGGAGGGACCAGGAGGAGGCAGATGCGCCCCACCTGAGTGCGCCGCGTCCACTTAATGAGTGAGGAGGAGGTTTGCAGAGACCTCTTCTCTCTTCTCTCCAGGGCCTGGGGGTGAGGCTGAGCTGTGGGTACCCTTAGAGGGTTGCCCACTTGCTGAGACTCCAGTTCCTGGAAGCACACTTGGGACTCCCCCCTTGCTCTCCTGCCGGGAGAGAGACTCCCTTTGGCGCTGGCTCCTCCTATTGCCCCCGCCTCCGCCCCCCACCCGCCTCTACTCACTCAGTGCCCCTCCTCCATCCCCATCTCTCCGTCCTTTGCTGTCCCTCTCTATTGTCTCCCTTGTCCTCCGGTTTCCCCACCCAGGCCCTCTCAGCCTGGCTGGCCCCTTCTCCTTGTGTTGCCCTCCTGGCTGTGGACTCAGGATCCTTCTACTTGTTCTGATCTTTGCCCGTAACCTGCCATCCTGTCCCCCAGCCTCCTTGCCTGTCAGGTCTGCATCTAAAGCCCCTGCCCAGAGTCTGCCTTCTCAGGTCCAGTACTCCCAGTTCACCTGCCCTCGGGAGCCCTCCTTCCTTTGGAAAACTCCCAGCTCTGACTCCTCCTCAGCCCCTCCCCCTGCCCTGCTCACTTTTAATTGAGATGTTAATGAGACTCCTGTTGCTTCCATCCCTGGCCGGCCGGCGGGCGGGCTCCCCAGCCCGGCCGCTGCACCTGTCAGGTGAGGGGGAGGAGAGGCTTGGCTGCCAGATTCAACTGGAAAGGAACCAGTCCCAGTCCAGCCGCAACCTGGGAGTGGGAAGCTGGAGGCAGCCCAGACCTCCTGGAGCCCGGCAGTCCTGGGGTAGAGACAGAATCAGGACGCAGCTCGAGGTCAGGGCCAGAGGCTGGAGGTGAGGGCCTAGAGTGAGAAGGGGTAAGGCAAGTGGGGAAGAGGAAGAGAGGCAGGATTAGAGAGAGGAGCCAGGTCAGAAAGAGGGGAGCTGGGAGAGACCCAAAGAGAAACCGGGCAGATAGAGAGGGAGTGAGAGGCAGGCGCTGAGACACAGATCCCAGAGGAAGATCAAAGGAAGAGGGCAGAGACAGAAAAGGAGGTGCTGGGACAGAAACCAACGGGTGGCCCCCTCAGGGAAGCAGAGGAGAGGTTGTTCCAGGGAAGCCCAGCTCCGGCACTTTTGGCCCCAACTCCCGCAGGTCTGCTGGCTCCAGGAAAGGTGGAGGAGGGAGGGAGGAGTGGGAGAATGTGGGCGCAGGGTGGGACGTGGGCATGGCCAGGGGCAACCTCACTTGGGTTCCAGGGGTGATGGGAGAGGGCACTCAGGGCCCAGAGCTCAGCCTTGACCCTGACCCTTGCTCTCCCCAATCCGCCCCGGGGCTCATGAAGGGGAACAAGCTGGAGGAGCAGGACCCTAGACCTCTGCAGCCCACCCCAGGGCTCATGGAGGGGAACAAGCTGGAGGAGCAGGACCCTAGACCTCTGCAGCCCACCCCAGGGCTCATGGAGGGGAACAAGCTGGAGGAGCAGGACGCTAGCAGCCCACCCCAGGGCTCATGAAGGGGGACAAGCGTGAGGAGCAGGGGCTGGGCCCAGAACCTGCGGCACCCCAGCAGCCCACGGCGGAGGAGGAGGCCCTGATCGAGTTCCACCGCTCCTACCGAGAGCTCTTCGAGTTCTTCTGCAACAATACCACCATCCACGGCGCCATCCGCCTGGTGTGCTCGCAGCACAACCGCATGAAGACGGCCTTCTGGGCAGTGCTCTGGCTCTGCACCTTTGGCATGATGTACTGGCAATTCGGCCTGCTTTTCGGAGAGTACTTCAGCTACCCCGTCAGCCTCAACATCAACCTCAACTCGGACAAGCTTGTCTTCCCCGCAGTGACCATCTGCACCCTCAATCCCTACAGGTCGGTTAGTCCCTCTGCCCATTCCCTGGTGCCTGCACCTGGAAGGGTGGTCCGGGGTGCTGAGGTGCTCACTGGGCAGGCACAGCCTCAGACCTGAGGGTGGGAGCTGATACCCCTGTCCCAGGTAGAGCTCACCACTGGCGAAACGAGGAGCCTCCAGCTTGCTGGACTGCTGTCCCTGCCCAGTGGAGCCGTCCTAGCACCCCAGGCTCACCCAGAGTGTGGTTGTTGGAGCAGCGTTGCCCTCCCCTGCCCTCTCTTCTCCTTCCCTCCCGTTCCCTTCTCCCTCCTGCAAGTGGGAGGGAGTGCTGCAAAAGGGCAGGGGTGTGCTCAGCTCCATCCTTTTCTGGAGCAAGATGCCAGCAAAGTATACGGCCTCATCCCCCTCACAGGAGAGTCTGATGGAGAGGTGAGGCTAGGTGAGGGGAGGCGAGGCCTTGCAGGTGCTGCAGAGGTGGGTGCTGTCAGTCTTTGTTTAGAAGGGGAATTTGTTATGGAGAAAGCAAAGTGGGGGTTCGTGGAGGTTAGGGCTGCAAGTGAGCCCAAAGGCTGCAGGCAGGGGCCTCACAGAACAAGGAGAATGGGTCAGGCTAGAGAGCAGCCCCTTGTGAAGCTGTTCCCCCAAAAGACCCAGGCTGAAATGCCGCACTGTTGACCTGCCCAGGTGCCTGACCTTTACGTGCTTGGGTGTGTCCTGAAGTTTTGGGTTTCGTCAGTGCTGTTTTGCCAATGTTGGGTCTGGAAACCGGAGCGAGTGGTGAGCGGGTGGTGAGCGGGTGGTGAGCGTGGAGAAGAGAGGAGGGCAGGGCTGAATGTTTTTATATACCTTTTATTTGCATTCACCCAGCCATGCCACACCTTGGGGACACCTGCGTCAAGCCAGACACAGGGCTAGGCACCAGGCAAAATGGATTCATGAATAATTCATACACCCTTTATTGAAGGGCATGTAGTTTGCTGTGTTCTGGAGACAGATAAAATAAGATGGCAGAGACAGGCATATAAGCCAGTAACTGTGGCACACTGGGATAAGTATGATAAAATGGTGAGTGAGTGTGCCTTCAAGGAGTGTCAGATCTTTATGGGTGTGAGTGTGAGTGTGTGTGTGCACACACTGGTATGTGTGCGATTATGGATGTTTGGGATTTGTCATGCTGTGGGTGGAGACCCCTTCGCATATTCCATCATGTCCAAAGGTGTGTTACGGACTAAGAAAGGTTGGGACGTCCTGTCCAGGAGAGAGAGAGAAAAAAAAAAGCCGGGCCATGTTGTTGATTAACGTCTGTATAATGTCCCGGGTAGGGACCATTTCCTTAAGAAGCTGCTGTGTGCACAGACACTGCTAAGGTGTCCACTGGCATCTCATTTCATTCTCACGTCTTCCCAGGCCGGTGCTATTGTCATCCCTATTTTACACTTGAGGAAACTAAGGCAAAGAGAGGCAAGTCACAACATCACAGAGAGAGTGACTGAGCTGTGACTCATCCTGTTTATGCCTAATCCCAAAACTCTGCCTCTTTTTAATACCCAAGATGTGGGGCGTTGAGTGAATGAAATTTCCAGGCAGACATGGTTTCCATCTCATTTCAGAGCTTTCTTGGATACTTCCCCTCAACCTCGTTTTTCTCCCCCTGGTGCCTGCAGACATCTTCACCCCTTAAGGCCTTGGTGGAGGGGAGGGATGCAGCAGGAGGGGGAAGAACAGCAGGCGGGGCAGTGGGCACTCAATAAATATTTGTGGTTGAAAATATGTCAGTGAGAGATGGAGAGGGAGGGCAGGGGTGAACAGGGCGAGGCCTGCACAGTTCTTAGGTTCTGCTGCACAGTTCTTAGGTTCTGCTGTCCCTACACAGTCCAGGAAAAAGCTGGGGAAAGGAGGCCAGAAGCTGTGCCTCTGGGGACTGCAGACTGGGAAGCAGCCATCCACCCAGAAAGAATCCCTCCTGGTTGAAGGGCTGCTGCAGGAGTTAGGAAGAGGCAAGAACACCTAGGAGGGGAGGGGAGTCGGGGAAGGCTCCCCAGCACAGGGGAAGGAGATTCAACACCCACCAAACACTACGCGCTTGACCTTGTAGTCACATGATGTGCTACACCCTAAAGCTGGGTGCTTTATAGACACTCTCTCATTTAATACTTACAAGTCCAGGGAGGTGGGCAGTATTATTCCCTTTTTTTTTTTAGATGGGAAAATTAAGGCTTGGCAAGAGGAAATAGTTCGAACAAGGGAACATACATTATTTATTTATTTAATTAAAAAATAACTGCAGGGCGCGGGGGCTCACACCTGTAATCCCAGCACTTTGGGAGGCCAAGGCAGGCATTGAGGGGTCTGGGATGGAGCCCAAACAAGGTTGTTTAAAAGAGCCCCTCACTTGAGGCCAGGAGTTCAAGACCAGTGTGGCCATCATGGTGAAATCCCCATCTCTACTAAAAATACAAAAATCAGCCAGGCATGGTTACGCATGCCTGTAGTCTCAGCTACTTGGGAGGCTGAGGCAGGAGAATCACCTCAGGAGGCCGAGGTTGCAGTGAGCTGAGATCATGCCACTGCATTCCAGCTTGGGCCACAGAGTGAGACACTGTCTCAAAGAAAAAAAAAAAAAACAGTAATAACGCTTGTATATATTTATGTGCCAGACATTTTTACAAATGAATCTAAATCAGATGATCTGCTTTAAATTATTTCTCACAACACACCTTGAAAGTAGGTATCATGATTACTCTAATTTTATGGATGAGGAAACTGAGGCCCAGAGAGTTAAGTAACTGGCTCAGCTTCAGACAGACAGCAAGTGGTGAAACTGGGACTCAGAAATCATCCCCCGCCCCCCCAATCCCCTCCCCCTCGCCTCCCCACTCCCCCCTCCCTGCCAGGCTCCAAAGAAAAGCCAGGGCATCTCAGGTTAGCAGCTGAGTCACAAACCAAGTGTGTTTGATTTCAAAGCTCTTTTTTTCCATTACACTTTAAGTAGGGATCGGGCAGAGACCTCCCAGGGTCGGGGGCAGTTGGTGCGAGCCCAGCGGGCAGAGCGGCAGTCACAGGAGGGCAGCTTGTCAGGCGTGCCGGAGGGAGGGATCCAGGGCCACTCCTACTCAGCAGAGAGGCAGGAAGGTAAACAGGTTAACCAGCCCCAGTGAGTGAATCACAGGGAGCGCGGTGAGTGACTCCTACCGAGGAAATCAGTTGATGAGCTAGAGGAACTGGAGTGAGGCAGAGCTGCCCAGGGCTGCCCACCTGCCGAGGGTCATCACCAGCAGAGGGAGAGGAGGAAAGTGGACATGCAGGACTCTGCTGCTTTCTAACTTCAGGGAAAGTGGACAAAGCACTGAAGACTTTTCAGACTAACCAAGGAAGTGCTGAGTCCAAAGGGAAGGGTCACCCACTGCAGCCTCTTTTTCTCTGGTCAACAAAGGACTTCTTCACCGAAAGGAGTGGGCCAGTCATACCTACAGTCATGGGAAACAGAGCCCACAGACGTATTTTTCATCCAGCCCCAGGAACGGTTTAGACTGGACCTAAGAACGTGGGGTTCTTGAACAATGAAGGTCATGCTAGCTTCTTTCCTGGAAATGGCACAGCAGGAGGCCAGGAGTGGGTGAAGCAAGGGGCAATTTCCCAGAGAGAACCCCTGTGGGGAAGGTGGGGAAGGCCTGAGCTAGGGAGTCCGTCCCTGCCTGCAGTTCCCTGATGTGGTGGGCAGGCTTTGCACTCCCCGGGCAGTCTGGACACCAGGCTTTACTCAGCAGGGCTGGCAGGAAAAAAAGCCTGGACTTTTAAGAGTTGACTCCCCTCTAACCCTGCCACGGTGGTTGGATCCTTCTCATGTCAGGAACCTTGCTACCTTTGTGGCAGATGCTATTAAAAAGTTCTTCCTGGCCGGGCGCGGTGGCTCAAGCCTGTAATCCCAGCACTTTGGGAGGCCGAGACAGGCGGATCATGAGGTCAGGAGATCGAGACCATCCTGGCTAACACGGTGAAACCCGGTCTCTACTAAAAAATACAAAAAACTAGCCGGGCGAGGTGGCGGGCGCCTGTAGTCCCAGCTACTCGGGAGGCTGAGGCAGGAGAATGGCGGGAACCCGGGAGGCGGAGCTTGCAGTGAGCTGAGATCCGGCCACTGCACTCCAGCCTGGGCGACAGAGAGAGACTCCGTCTCAAAAAAAAAAAAAAAAAAAAAATTTCTTCCTGGCCAGGCATTGTGGCTCACACCTGTAATCCCAGCCCTTTGGGAGGCCAAGGCGGGCAGATCCCTTGAGCTCAGTAGTTCGAGAGCAGCCTGGGCAACATAGTGAAACCCCATCTGTACAAAAATACAAAAAAATAAAAATAAAAAATTAGCTGGACATGGTGGTGTGCACCTGTAGGGAGGGATGAGAATCACTTGAACCCAGGAGGTGGAGGTTGCAGTTAGCTGAGATAGCGCCACTACACTTCAGCCTGGGCGACAGAGTGAGACTCTGTCTCAAATACATAAATAAAATAAAATAAAATAAAATAAAATAAATTAAGAGAGTTCTTCCTTAGGCAAAGCTGCAGTTTGGCTTGTGATAACTTCTGCCCTCTCATCCTGCTTCTGTGTCCTTGAAGCAACCCTAAAGGCGTCCCCTCCTTCCTCTGGCTATCAGTTCAGGTGCAGCTATAATAGCAGTAATTGCACTGCAGTTTGCAAAGCCCACTGTCATATTTTGATCCTCATAACACGCTTGTTTAGGCAAGTGTCAGTCCCATAGTTAGAAAAGAAGATGGAGGCTCCGAGAGCCTAACAGGCTTTGCAGAGGTCACCCAGCTGGTAAGTGGAGGAGTCAGAATCGGAATCTGGGTCTTTAGCTCCACTGTTGTTAAGACACAAGGTCACATGTTAGTTACATGGCAGGCAGTGCTCTTGTGTCTTGTGTCTCCTTAGCTTTTTCTTCTCCAATAACAGTAATACCAACAGTAATGATAATGAAAACAACATCAGCAGTTATACAGTACCTACTCTGCAAGGTACTTTTTTAGT